GTCCTATACCGGGCGTAACAGCTGTGAGCGGAACCTTTTCTAATTCCAACTTCCCCGCGACCATTTTCCACCGATACGGAACATTATCCACCATTGTATATCCACCCGATCCTGCTGAGTTCTCCTGCGTTGCAGTTTCCCGAGCTGACACAAAACCGGGCTGGTTCCCCACAAGTGCGGCAGAACCATCAACACCTGACGGCACGGAAGCAATCGGAACATGTGTTAAACCAGGTGGTCCACTTGCATATCCACCACTTGCAGAACCTCCCATGGGGTAATTCAATGGAGGCAATCTGGAGGGTTTCTTCCCTTCAGCTACATGCATCATTGGCACTTCTTTTTCATCCTCCACTTGAACATCCCCCTTCCTGGACCCAGGCAAGGATTGAAGATCACAACCCTTTGGCAGGTCGTAGCCCTCAATAGGCAGCCATGTCCCATCAGGCAACACAGTCCAAAAACCACCCATACCATCCGTGTAGAAAACTTGTCCTGGCAGGTACTGCTTCTCTGGAGTCATTCCTAGAGGATATGCCGTGTTTGCGTCCACCACTCCAGAGCTCCGTGCCCTTGAAGCTGACCCAGATGCAGCAGAGGTATAGCTTTTTTCCTCCACCCGATGCAACCTGTTCCCCAGCTCCTTTGTCTGCACAAGCAACTCTTTCAGCGCACGCTTCACCACCGCCATATCTTCAGACTGCTCTTCACCACTAACATCAGGAATGAGTTCTTCGTCGGCTTGCACTCCACCAATAGTACCTCGCTCCATTTGTCCCATTAAGCCCGACGATGGTCTCTCAACAGGTGCAGGTTCCTGACCCAAAAGATCTGGCAGTGAAGGCGGTCTTCTCGTACCTTCACCACTCCTGTCCCCTCCGCTCGCGGGAAGACTTGCCGGCCTTGACTGCCTAAGTCTCATTTCTTCTTGAGCCCGCTCGCTCCAGAAAGGATTTGCTGCTTGAACCGGAACCACTTCGTTTTCCACCTGAGGCGTTGGTTGTATCATTGCAACCTCCCTACCATCTGTCAGCGCTTGTACCATTTGTTGTCGATCTTCACCCCCATCACCACGATTTCCTTCGGCTTCATTGGCCGTTGGCGACAGTCCAGGCTCAGAGCGACGCCGCATCATGTCCATGGCGTTAAACAAACGAAAAATCTTTACCAATCCGCAGGAAGCCTAATTTGGGCTCATAACCTACGGGGGGCAACCGAAGGAGGACAGGGAACAAAACAGTCAACCCCAACAGAAGCCCTTAATTCCCCTGGAACAACCAACAACCAAACAACAAGACCCCAAACCAAGGGCACACTTTTTACAAAACCTTCGACCGCTTTGGTCATGGCTTGAGCCAACGATTATCGGGTTCATTGACCCTTGAACTTCCAATACCAATTCCTTTCTACAATACCAATTGCAGCTCCGCACCCTAAACCCGTTTAGGGTTTAGGGTTTAGGGTGAAGCCTCAAGCCCTAAACAGCCCTGTCTTCATGCCCTGCACCGTCTTGGATGCTGAGTAGGCAACTTCTCTATAGGAGTTATAAGCCCGCTTAGACTAGAAAGCAAGGCAAGCCTTTCCCCCACCTACAAGACTCAGCCGGCCACTCCTCCGCAGAATCCCTTTGCTGCCTCTGAACACCCCCCAAAACCCCTAAACCCCTAAACCCCTAAACCCCTAAACCCCTAAACCCCTAAACCCCTAAACCCCTAAACCCCCAAACCCCTAAACCCCTAAACCCCTAAACCCCTGAGCCCTAAACCCCTAAACCCCTAAACCCTAAACCCTAAACCCTAAACCCTAAACCCTAAACGGCCCTTCAGCCCTTCAGCCCGCGTCCGCCCCTCCTTGTGAGGAGATGGGTCGGCGCTGCAGGCCCACCAGGCGATGAACCTACCGCCCGGGCGCTGTGAGCACTCGCCCAAGTTGTCAGGGTTTAGGGTTGAGGGTTTAGGGTTTAGGGCTTGGGGCTTGGGGTTTGGGGTTTAGAATGTTGGGGGGGGTTTAGAAGGTTGGGGGGAATCGCCCTCCGACGGAGGCTTCAGGGTGTAGGGTTTAGGCCCAATAAGGGAAAGTAGGCAATATCCCAAAGGCCTACCTAGGGGTTTGTAGGGTTTATAGAGTTGCGACTCAGAGTTCGAAAGAGAGAACCAAAAAACATCAACGCACCCCAAACCTCGAAACCCCTAAACCCCTGAACCTTGAACACAGAACCCCTCACCCCCCTAAACCTTAACAACCCCCGAAACCCCCGAAACCCCCGAAACCCCCGAAACCCCCGAAACCCCCGAAACCCCCGAAACCCCCGAAACCCCCGAAACCCCCGAAAACCACTAAACCCCTAAACCCCCAAAACCCCCTAACTTCCTTTAAACCCCCGGAGGCCCCGAAACACACACACATAAACCCCCCAAACCCCTAAACCCCCTAAACCCCTTAAACCCCCTAAGCCCCCTAAACCCCCTAAACCCCAAACCCCCTAAACCCTAAACCCTAAACTCTAAACCCTAAACCCTAAACCCTAAACCCTCAACCCTAAACCCTAAACCCTCAACCCTAAACCCTTAACCCTAAACCCTAAACCGGCCCTAACCCCTAAACCCTGCGCCTCTTGACCCAAGGTTTCGGGTGCACACGGAGCCCTTGGGCACAGCGGACCAGCTGAAGGCGTGCCGCACCCTTGGGTTGAGGGTTTAGAGTTTAGGGTTTAGGGTTTAGGGTTTAGGGTTTAGGGTTGAGGGTTTAGGGTTTAGGGGTGTAGGGTTTGGGGTTTAGGGTTTTAGGTTTTTTTGGGTGTAGGGGTTTAAGGGTTTAGGGGTTCAGGGGTTTAGGGGTTTAGGGTTTTGGGTTTTTGGGGTTTAGGGTTTAGGGTTTAGGGTTTAGGCGTTTAGGTTTTGAGGGGTTTAGGCCCCCTAGACCCCAAAATCCAGGCCTTGCTGGCGTCAGAAGATGACTGGGACCTCGTGGACGCCGACATCGAAGGCACCGAGCTTCTTGGCGCTCAACCCCAAATCCTACACCCTAAGCCCTAAACCCTAAACCATTAACCCTAAACCCTAAACCCTCGGATGTCTGTGGCACTCACACCTTGAAGCCGAAATCCCCAAAAAAGGCTTCTTCCGATTCGGCGGAGCTTCAAACTCTGAGCCGTGGTGGTTTAAGGCTTAGGAATGAGGCTCTAGTAGATGAAGCCCCCCCCCCCCCCCCCCCCGACATTGGGAGGAGTATAGTCTAAGCCCCGCATAGCCGACGTTTGATTCCTTTAGAGCCGCTATAGTCTAAGCCCCGCATAGCCGACGTTTGATTCCTTTAGAGCCGCTTTTAGCCCGGACACCCTAAACCCTAAACCCTAAACCCTAAACCCTAAACCGTAAACCCTAAACCCTAAACCCTAAACCCTAAACCCTAAACCCTAAACCTTAAACTTTAGAACATCCCAGTCTGCTTTCGTGGGTGGCGGGCCGACACGGCTCAAGGCCCTTGAGCCCTTCAAGCTTCTGGGTTACAGGGAAACCCTACTCCCTGAGCCCTAAACCCGAAACCCTAAACCCCAACCCTAAACCCTAAAACCTAAAACCTAAACCCTAAACCCTTAACCGTAAACCCTAAACCCTGAACCCTGAACCCTGAACCCTGAACCCTAAACCCGAAACCCGAAACCCGAAACCCTAAACCCTAAACCCTAAGCCCTAAGCCCTAAGCCCTAAGCCCTAAGCCCTAAGCCCTAAGCCCTAAGCCCTAAGCCCTAAGCCCTAAGCCCTAAGCCCTAACCCTTAAACCCTAAACCCTAAACCCTACTAAACCCTAAACCCTAAACCCTCAACCCTCAACCCTCAACCCTCAACCCTCAACCCTCAACCCTCAACCCTCAACCCTCAACCCTCAACCCTCAACCCTAAACCCTAAACCCTAAACCCTAAACCCTAAACCCTAAACCCTAAACCCTAAACCCTAAACCCTAAACCCTAAACCCTAAACCCTAAACCCTAACCCTAAACCCTAAACCCTAAACCCTAAACCCTAAGCCCTAAGCCCTAAGCCTTAAGCCCTAAGCCCTAAGCCCTAAGCCCTAAGCCCTAAGCCCTAAGCCCTAAGCCCTAAGCCCTAAGCCCTAAGCCCTAAGCCCTAAGCCCTAAGCCCTAAGCCCTAAAGCCTAAGCCCTAAAGCCTAAGCCCTTGGGAGACCAAGGCAGCACATCTTGCCAAGCCTGCTGGGCTGGCTGTTGCCGCGGGTGCGGCGTCTGCACGTCTCCACGCACGGGCGGACGATCCACTGGAACTTGGTGTGACTTGGTTTAGGACTTGGAGTGTGTTTTTGGGGTTAGTTTTAGGGTCGAAATAGTAGTTACTACTAGTATTCCTTTGGGGTCCCTTTTGTAGTATACTAGAATACCCCCAAAAGCCTTTTCTGAAAAATTCAGGCGCCGCCTATATTATATAGGGTTTTGGGGGGTGTTAAAGGGGGTTCGATGTCATACATTTAGAGTATCTCCCAGAGAATCCCCAGAAAATTGGAGCCCCTGGAGTGCCCAACCCAGAGACTCCCGGAGTGCCCAACTCAGAGACTCCTGGAGTGCCCAGCCTCAGAGTCTGGCTGGAGTGCCCAACCCCGGAGACTGCCTGGAGTGCCCAGCCCAATTTTCCCAATCCCAATTTAGCAGAAAACCCTCAGTGCCAACCCCAGAGACTCCCTGGAGTGCCCAACCCTAGACACTGCCTGAAATGCCCAACCACAAAGACTGCCTGGGGTGCCCAACCCCAGAGATTCCCTGGAGTGCCCAACCCAGAGACTCCCTGGAGTGCCCAACCCCAGACTCCCTGGAGTGCCCAACCCTAGAGAGTGCCCAACCCCAATTGCAAGCAACAACTCTCATTTGCGCTCTTTCCTGTTAACGAGGAGCAAGGTGGGGATGTTCGAAGTACAAAAATTTATGCATATACATATGTACATACTGGGTGAGGCAAGTAATGAGGCCCCTGCCTCATAGCATCCCAGACATGCGCAAAGCTGACTCCAAGGAAGTCCCTGGAGAGCAGCGGGTGGTTTGTGGCAGCTCACTACCCAGCATGGCCCCCTGCTCGCGTAAACCCTAAACCCTAAACCCTGAACCCTGAACCCTGAACCCTAAACCCTAAACCCTAAACCCTGAACCCTGAACCCTAAACCCTAAACCCTAAACCCTAAACCCTAAACCCTAAACCCTAAACCCTAAACCCTAAACCCTAAACCCTAAACCCTAAACCTTCAAACCCTATACCCTACACCCTAAACCCTAAACTGCATGCTTTGGGAAGGGCGGGGAGTGAAGGCTGGATCCCAAAATAGTCCCTGTATGATCCGCAGTACATGGCCCCAAAGTAGTACCTACATGCATAGCCCTAAGCCCTCTAAGCCCTAAGCCCTAAGCCCTAAACCCTAAACCCGAAACCCTAAACCCTAAACCCTAAACCCTAAGCCCTAAACCCTAAGCCCTAATCCTTAACCCTAAAGCCCTAAAGCCTAGACCCAAGACCCAAAAGTCCAAACCATGCTTCGCCCCGAACCCCTAAACCCGAAGCCCTAGACCCTTAACCGTAAACCTTAAACCCTAAACCCGAAACCCTAAACCCCAAACCCTAAACCCTAAACCCCAAACCCTAAACCCGAAACCCCTAAACCCTAAACCCTATCTGCCCACCAGGTCGATGTCCGGCCTTAGAGACCTTGGCCTGGGCGAGTTCGTGACCAATGATGGCCACCTCAGCGCCGTGCCCCGGACGTCCTCCCCGCCGGCTCCGGCATGGTCGTATCTTCTCCAACGGTTTAGGGTTTAGGGTTTAGGGTTTAGGGTTTAGGGTTTAGGGTTTAGGGTTTTGAACTTTGAACTTTTTGGGTTTCCTTATTGAGTAGGAATAATAATGTTTAACCTTTTTTTCCCTTGGGTATTGGAGAAGTAAGGTATTGGTCCTAGACGCCGATGTCAACGGAGGCATCCACAACCTTCACAGCCTCGCGGGTCGTAGAAGGTGGGGGCTTAGAAGACGGGTTCGAACCTTCTCTTGGGGTTCTGCAAACCCCACTGTTAAGCACCCATGAGCCTCCAAGGAAGCACCCCAAAATCCTAAAGCTAAACCCTAAACCCTAAATCCTAAACCCTAAACCCTAAACCCGAATTAAACTCCAAGGTATCTGGTTCTCAAAATAATTCGGGGGTACTCCTACTGTACCTGCTTCCTTCAACTAAAGCCGGGACACTCCAAGCTTGAGCCTCTGCTCCGCTTCCGGGGTTTAGGGTTTAGGGTTTAGGGTTTAGGGTTTAGGGTTTAGGGTTTAGGGTTTAGGGCTTAGGGCTTAGGGCTTTGATGCCCTGGAAACTTGAAGGGCGCAGGTTCCCGCGCTTCGGGCTTCGGGCCTCTGACATGTTTTGGAGGAAATTGTCGGTTTGAGGGGTTTGGGGTTTAGGGTTGAGGGCCGGTAGGGTTGAGCGCTTTTGGTGCTGCGCGTGGGAAGAGCCTTTGGGCACAGCCAGTTACTTGCTCTTGGTTCGTAGGGAAAGAGGGAAGGCAGCCAGTTGTAGTTATCATGACGGCCTAAACCCTAAACCCTAAACCCTAAACCCTAAACTCTAAACCCTAAACCCTAAACCCTAAACCCTAAACCCTAAACCCCAAACCCCAAACCCCTCAGTCGAAAAGGCCGAAGCACCATGAAGCCACTTCGCGGTCGACCAGACTGCTGCCCATCACTTCAGGACATCGGGAGAACCCTAAAGCCGCCAAGACCTAAACCCTGAAGCCAAAAACCCTACGTGTTTCGGGGGGGTTTAGGGTTTAGGGTCTGGGGATCAGGGTTTCTAAACCCTGAAACCCTGAGAAACCCTAAGGCCCAACACCCAAGAGCTCTAACCCTAAACCTCAGCCATCAAAGATCTTCGAGACAGACTCCTTGCTCTCAGCTGGGTCTGGGGGGTTTCATTCACAATTTATTGGGGGGGGGGGGGGGGGGGGGGGGTGGGGGGGGTTTAGGCTTACGGTCGAAACATACCAAACCCTAAACCCTAAACCCTAAATCCTGAACCCTAGACCCTAAATGCTGAACCCTAAACCCTAAACCCGCCTAAACCCTAAACCCTAAATCCCTTGAACCCCAAATTTTAAGCACCAAATCCAATCGAAGAGGCCTAGCGGCCGCTCCCCAAGATTGTCGGCAGACACGAAGTCCCCTGTGGGGGTCCCCGGGTTCAGAGGGAGTTCCGAGGAAAGGTTCCATATGCTCCTGATGCGCGCCTGGGCCCCGCTGAGGATCCTGATGCGCGCCTTGGGCCCGGGGCTCGCGCCGCTGATGCTGATGACGCGCGCCCACGCAAGGCTTTCGCGGGGTGCTGAGAAACATCTCTACATGGGGTCCCCCAGCTGATGCTCATGCTGAGCGCCGCCCCAAGCTGATTCTCATGATGCGCGCCGCGCCGGGGCTCAGAGTAGCACCCTGGCGCATCCAGATGCTTAGGATGGCGATGGTTAACACGAAGAATGCCGACGCAATCACATGTGGAAAACATGCAAAAACACGTTTTTTGCGGCAGTTTCGTATTCGGAGCCACAAAAACGGCTCAGACCCGCCACGGAAGCAGAGACATGCTGGAGCTGCTGGCCGTCTCGGGGCCCCGGTGCCCAAGGCCAGCCTGGAAGGAAGGAAGCGGACCAACGGCCCTGATGATGCTCGCCAACATGGCCCTGATGATGCTCGCGAGGGGGGGTGACGCGGGATTGGCCGGGATGAGTAAGGATAATCCCATCGTCAGAGCCTCAAAGGTTTCGGGTGTAGAGTTTTAGCGAGTTTCAAGGTTTTGGATCTCGTGCGGTTTCGGTTTTGGGGTGATACTAGAAAGGTCCATTCCAGGGAAGGGGGGGAGGGGGGGAGGGTGGGCAGGCGGGGGGGGGGGGGGAAAAACAACGCCCCTAACCAGGAAAAAAGGAGGCTTTCACCTCCAAAGCCCATCCAGCAAGCCGCCAGGGTCAGCAGACCTAAACCCTAAACCCTAAACCCTAAACCCTAAACCCTAAACCCTAAACCCTATACCCTATACCCTAAACCCTAAACCTTAAACCCTAAACCCCGAAACCCTCAAACCCCTTAGCTGCGTGCGGGCGCTCTCTAGGTGACCTAAGTCCCCAAATCCTAAGCATTAAACCTTAAGCTTTGTGCCCTAAATCCTAAACATCTCCTGCATACAGAGGATAGTAAAGTAAAGTAAAATAATTTTATTGAACTAAATTGAATTAAATCAAGTTAAATTAACATTAGCTTATATTACATTATATTACATTATATTACATTATATTACATTATATTACATTATATTACATTATATTTCATTATATTCCATTATATTCCATTATATTCCATTATATTGCATTATATTGCATTATATTGCATTATATTACATTATATTACAGTATATTACATTATATTACATTAGAATACATTATATGGCATTATATTACATTATAGTACATTAGATTACATTTGAGTATATTATATTGTATTATATTTATATATATATATATATATATGTGTGTGTATATATATATATATATATTGAAACCTCCAGTCGTTCGTGGGTAAGGGCAGAAATTTCGCGGGCAAGGGCCCGAATTTTTTCATGGGCAAGCTTCAGGGCCAGGCCTTGGCCGTTAGGGTTTAGGGCTGCTGCGCCTTGGGCTGTTTGAAGATATGTAGGATGCCGAACCCTAACTCCAGAGCCTCCGAACCAGACAGAGCCGACCATTGAGCCAAGCTTGAACCCTAAACCCTCAACAACGGGGGTGGGGGGCGGCGCCGGGGGTGGGCGTGGAGGGTTTTTGAGGGGTGCCAGAAGGGGGGAGTACGTTCATGCGCCCAAATAGTCGTAGAAAGACGGGCGCGCGCAACATCTTTTCCTGGCCTGGCCCTTAATCTTTACTATTTGCGCATACTTGTAATATAATTCACGCGTATGCACAAATATTATTTTTCAGCAAGCATGTGCGTTCGTTTCACTCGCTTCGTGCCTTTATTATTGTATTCATTCACGGGCAAGCACATTATGTTTATTAGCCCGTGCACTATTAATAAGCGTATGAATAAAGTGTATTAGTGCCCGTATTAAATAAGACTTTTTGGGCGCACAAAAGACCCCTTAAAGCAAGTCTGTATTGCGCGGCCTTTTACGCTCTCCAAGTTCACGGATTCTCTTCACGATGGTACCTTTATAACCTTCACGTGTAACCCCCTAAAAAGCCTTCTTACATGCACTAGCTACAAGCGTCGTCTGCACGTGAAATTAGGGGTCTTTTTGCAAGTTCTTTGGTGGGGAGGTGTCAGGGGGCTTGGGGGGGGGATCCCAGGAAAAGGGTGTCCAGGCCAAACAAAAAAGTCAAGGGTGCTTTATTGGGGTCCGTATTATAAGGGGATCCTACTACTTGGGGTCTATATTGGGGGTCCCCTAGTTTCGTAGACCCCCAGATGTTCTTCCCCCCCCATGCCTACCAGGCACCATGGTCCTTCAGCTCGCGCGGCGCGGGTTGCGGGTCCTCCACGGAAAAAGCTGCAGGGTCGGCGGAGGGATTTAGGGTTTTAGGGTTTAGGGCCCTACAGCCCCAGACGGGTATGAGTAACCCAGGATTTGAGGGACGCGTTCGGGGTGCAGTCAGGGCGCAGCTCCCACAAGATCTGCCGAAACCTCAAACTTGGGTTTAGGGTTTGGGGTTTAGGGATTTAGGGTTTAGGGTTTGGGGTATAGGGTTTAGGGTTTAGGGAGTAGGGTTTAGGGCTTCAAGCCCTAAACCCTAAACCCTCCACAGGAGCTCGCTGCCCTCGCATGACCTGGCTCCACGGGGCTGGCTTGGCGGCTTCCGGATGAGAGGAACTCGGGGAGCCCAATACCCCTTGGGTTGAGGGTTTAGGGGTTTGGGGTTTAGGGGTTAGGGTTTAGGGCCTAGGGGTTTAGGGTTTAGGGTCGGGTTTAGGGTTTGAGGGGTTTAGGGGTTTTGGGTTTCAGTGCTTAGGGATTAGGGTTTTAGGGCTCTGGGGTTTTGGGTTGTAGGGTCTTAGGGTTTTAGGGTTCTAGGGCTTAGGCGGGTTTAGGGTTGTAGGGTCTTAGGGTTTTAGGGTTTAGGGTTTTAGGCTTTAGGAAGGCTTCGGGTGTTTGACGATTTAGATTATGAAGGGTGTAGGATGCCTTAAGCTACGAAGGCTTCTAGGATTTCAGGTTTAGGGGTTGTTTTTTGTCGACTGAAGAAACATATCTTACTTAGACTATAAAGGGCTTAGGTTCCTCATGAACCCTGAACCCTAAACCCTAAACCCTCATGAAACCCTCGTACCCAAAAAACCCTAAACCCTAAACCCTAAACCCTAAACCCTAAACCCTAAACCCTAAACCCTAAACCCTAAACCCTAAACCCTAAACCCTAAACCCTAAATCCGTGAGCGGGGTGATGGGCTCTGGGAAGGGCCGACGACAACTGATACGGCGCGGCGCGGCACGCAGCAAAAAGGCAAACCCCCAACTTGCCCGGTTCGTTAGAGTCAGGAGTTTAGGGGTTTAGGGGTTAGGGGTTTGGGGGTTTGGGGGGTTTGGGCTTTTAGGGGGTTTAAGGGGTTCTGACCTTAGGGCCTCAACATTTTTGTTAGTGGCTTGAGCCAGTGAAGTCGCTGAAGGACGAGCAGGGAGTTCTAATCTTGGGAAGAAGGAGCTGCTCATTCGTGGGTTAGATGAACTCTAGACCCTAAACCCCACACCCTTAACCCGAAACCCGAAACCAAAAACCCCAAACCCTTAACCCGAAACCCTAAACCCCTAAACCCCAAACCCTAAACCCTGCACCCCCAGACCCTAAACCCTAAACCCTAAACCCTAAAACCACTTGTGAAGAAGAGCACGGTTGGCTCGTCGGCATCTGGCTCTCAGCGAACGCGTTGCCTTCTTTG